CACCAGTAACCGGTCGCACCGTACGATTTTTTTTATCTCCGCCTTTACTATGATAACTAACTATGATAATCCTTATCGTGCGGACCAGACGACCGAAGAATATACACAGAACGGACAAAAAAGAAACAAAACTGCGGCAATCGTTTCTATTGGTAACTGATAAAAGACGTAGCAACAGTCAGAGCTAGAAATGGTATCTATCGACTTTTATAGATTTGATATTTTGTTATTTTCTGCGCCATTGTCGTAACATACGTAATGTGAACCTTTTAAATCTTTCTCATAAATTTTGGAGACACGGAATATTCCTATTTTTCAATTTCACGAATGTAATTGTGTGAAAAAAAACGCATAATGTAATAATCTAAAAAGACCTACGTGTAGCTCTGATTTGATCGGAGTATTCATTGTGCAAGAACGTGTCTTAGATCATGAAATTGGCATTTGTTTTCGTACAATTCGACTTCGTTCGCGCTATTAGATCATCGTTTACGACGTCCTCGGGTATTAATTTTCGTAGTAATTTTTACTACATTTTCTCCGTGTACATCCGTATTGCGTTAAAGGATTTATTACGATTCGCTCGCGACGGTTTCAGAGGTACGATTGCTTTCTCGATGAAATCTTTCGCGAATCGACGCGAATTCTCTCTTTCTTCCGAATGTCCCGCGTTATACGCCCAGCGAAGGCGATAAGGCTCAACTCCGCCCTAACGGCCCTTCCCATCCTCGTCCTTTCTACTCTCCATCATCATCTTCTCGTCCTCCAGGACCATGCGAGCGAGTAACATCGGACCATCATTCATCACCCAGCACTTTTCGGTGCGTCGGACAAGTTCCGAGAACGCTGGCGCAATTATATTAAACATAAATCAGTTATAACGAGCTTATGTGATCGCAATGAAGAGCGCGCTGCAATTGACGCCTTCTGCTTGTCTATCTGTCCTTCGCGCTTGTTACTCCGCTCGAACTCGCGCGAAAAGACGTAAAATCTCGAGCCCGTCACCGCGATATTCCACGGCGCGGGAACGAGACTTACGCGTTGCTTCGAGTTTCAGACTTTTCTTCTCGCTTTACTTCTGTATCGTATTAATGCGTCTCGATATTGCATAAATGCATGGTGTTTTAATAGTCTATGGAATTAAATATATCGCATAACTAGTACGCATGGAACATAATATTATATTCAACATTATTCAATGTATTCAATATATTCCACATTCGCGCATAACAATAACTTAATTTATCTCGATAATTTATGTTTTACGTAAATGCATATAAATGCGCATAATTCATATATTTTATATAAATTTCCATTTTATCCTAGAGTGTGTAATTTCTACACGCGTGAAGCGACGCGGAGTTTAATCTAAACCTTGCTGAACTTTAGAATATATACACTGAAAGAAATTATAGTTATTTTCGGCCTCGGCTCTATTATTTCATGGTTTTATCTTAAAAATAGTAATAACAACATTTGTGTAAAGTTATTATCACTGACACTATAGTAACACTTGCTAGAAAATTGATTCTTCTGTGACTATAATTCTTACGCTATAATGATTATAGTTACAAACACGAAATTATATTTTTCTCTCGATGCACAAGCGTATAAATTTCTACGACCGACTCGTCTCGACTAAAGAGGCTCAATATGGTTGCACGGGTATACGACCATAAACCGAATCGCTAGCGTGAAGAGAGTAAGAGGAAGAACGAAAAGTGTGCTCGATTTCGGTAAGTCCGCGTCCTAGTAAGGTCGACGTGATTAGCACCGGCGACAAGAAGGCGTCCTTATTAAGAAAGGCCCCTAGAAACAAGGCTGAGGCCTATCCGCCTTTTCGAGCTCTGATTTCTTTCTTCTAGCTTCTTCCCTCAAACCTCCTCTGCGCCCTTCTCACCCCTTTCTTCCTTCTCTTCCTCCTCCGCTTCTTTTGAGTACTAAGACCGAATGAAAATGTATGAGGACGATATCCACGGTGGTGAGAAAGAGAGAAGGAGAGGGAGCCGGAGGGGGAGTTGATGAGATACGATCCTCTCCCTTTCTCTTTGCTTCTCGGTGCATCACGCACGTATAATGCACACGTGTAGCAACTACAGATGGGTTGGGAGAGCGAGAAGAAGGAACAGCGGAGAGACGAAATGGGACGAGAAGAAAGAAGGACGGAGGGGGAAGAATGAGTGAGCGAGACCAACGGAGAGGGACGAGACTCTAAGTAGTTTCGTTTCAAGCGTATACATAACGGAAAAGCTGTGCCTACGCCCTGAACGACTGGCGATCGCAACATCGCCGTCCCTCTGCACTTTACCAGACAACGACGATGAATTTCTAGGCGAGAAAAAGGCGCTGACCAACCCTCCGCGTGAAGTGACAGATATATATAACTAATTTAAAAGGATACTTTTTTTACTCGTTCGTACGATTATCGCTTTTCGAAATTATTCATTAATTGGTTAACGAAAGCAACGATACGGTCAAAGGACCGTCCACGATTGTTCACGTTCGAGATGTTTACGACGAGTGAGGACACGTGTACATCGCCCCGGATAAAAAGCCGTACGGAACGCGGATGAAATTTATCCAGGCTGTTTCAGTCTATTTATTAAGTGTCCCCTAATGACTTTATCGGCACCGGTGAGTGTAACGAACGGGGATCAAGATAGCCGCAGGAATTTATGCCTTTTCGCGTAAAGATGGTATCGCGTATGCGAAGAAGGAGGAGGAAGACACGCGGTATCCGAACGCGAGGAGCGTTAAAGGACGGGCCGAGCCGCGGGTGTAATCAGCATTAATGGGAATTCGATTTATCGATCGGAAAGGTTAACCGCCACTTTCCCTCAAATATTTGCGACATCGGGGTCTCATTAGCGTTTCGCATTTCGCGCGGCACTAGTCGCGTCTACTTACTTGCCGCGAGTCGATCGATCGCTTCGAGCAGTTTTTAATTATACCAGAGGATATTTGCGGCACACTCGCTGCCGCGCCATCCGGGATTATAAATTATTGTCTTGTTCATGTATAAAACCTGTAATTACTCCGTCGATTTAAACAAAATTATAACGAATATTAATTAATGCCGAGGAAATAAATCAGGTGTTATTTGTCTTGCTCCAGTTGCTCCAGTTACGATTGTGATTTTCGGAAGGAAGAAAATAGACACGATTTACGATGATTGCGATTCCGAGCGCTACATGTTTATTAACTATTTTTGTCAAACTTTTTTACTGTTTACCGCACGTTTACCGGGAAACTGTTAAAACGAAAAACTGGAAGCTCACGAGTTATTCTCGAGTGACGACGTAATTGTGATCTTATTTTTCTTCGCGCGTTTCTCGTTTATTTTACGCGACTGCGTCACGTCGTGTGAATGTGAAATCGTCAATTCGTCGTTCGACAATCAGGTCTCAAAATCGAAATTTTACTCTTGGTTTAAGTCTAATCTAGTTCTGTTATTAAGTGTCCTAAGGTCTTCCATTGTGCTCCTCTGGTACTAATGGAAGACCACTCGAAGACTCAGCATAGAACTAAAATTTGGGCTCCGGAGGACTAAATTCCCTTTGTAGCGCCCCTCTGATGCTACAAGTGCTACAAGTACTTGTTTCTTTTTTCCCCGCTTGAAGACTTGACGTGGAATTTCAAATTTCGACTCGGGTACTCGCGTTGATAAACGATCGCATTCCGCCGAATACGCGAACGCATCGCGCTCGCGCAGCGACGGAGCGTCCACCGTGTGTTTATCGTGTGGCAAGTTCTTACCTTTAATTTCAGATACACGAACAACCTCGTCAAGTAGGCGCGTAGAATCCGCCCTGGAGCTCTTTAAAGCCGGCGCCGATCATGCCGCGCGCGCGGACGCGCATGTTTGATACACGCTGATATCCGTTCGCGGTGAGCGCGCGCAGAGAGCTGCAATTATTTTAATTCGTAATTTAATAGTATACCGTGCCCCTCAACTTAATGCGATATAACTCCGAGGCAAAATCTCGAACTATGGCGATATCGCGATCGCGTACGATAACACGTGCTGCTTAATGGAAACGAGTTGTTTGTTTTCCATGGCTAACGCGTCTGTTGTTTCATATGGAATTACAGGATACGCCAGTCATTCTTCATCGACTTTCGCCATTAATCCTTCAACTTAACTTAACGTGATAGGTTAGCTAAACGTCGCTGAACGTACCGCAAAAACAGCGGGGTTTTGTATTTCGCAACGCAACGTAAAGTGAAATTATTCCTTTCATAATCGGTACGCTTGATGTACCGAGCGGCGCGCGTTCTACATGTTCATCGATTCTTTTGAATTCAAGGGAATTCTCTGCGCTCCCTCTCTCGGGTTGTTTCCAATCACGGAGTCATGCGTGACGGCGATCACTATGAATCTTGCGAAAATTATTTGTTGCATGTTCTGCACATTTAACATTGTGTATTTCACTTGACACAACAGCAGGAATTGAAAAACTATTCGTTCAAAGTAATTCTTGGGAATTATTCTCTCTAATGGAACGAATATATAATACAATATTTTATGTATACATATATATATATACATACATGGTCAGATGGGACAGATGTTTACATGAACTTCGTGCGATTTTTACGTCCCGAATCAGAAATGAATTTATGTTCATTTCTGAAATTACGCTCACGTGTTATGAAACATCCCGTACATATAAAATATTACATTCTACAAACATATTCGAATTAGAGAGTAATCTTTATCGTAGCACGGCGAGAAAAAACTTACACCGCTCGAGACAATGCCCGGTAAAAGAAAGGAAGTTATCGCAAATGTAACTTTCAATAGTTGATAACAATATTGGCGATCATTCAATCGAGCGCAGCGAGTAAAATTAATGCCGTCTTCAGCCTGCCGTGAAATGTCCTACCACGCTACTCGCTTTCCCCTTCTCTCTTCTGCCGCAAAAAGGACCGGTTAACGAACACACTCGCGGCGTAATACGCCGGCCGGCAGGTAGGTAGGTAGCGGATAAGCGAGATACCGGAATAAGGATTCTCGAGGAGGCTCGACGCGGTGTTTACACGGCCGCTGAATGCGGCTCCTATGCGCGGCGGTTTTAGACACCCCGATAGGAGCGCGAACGCCGGTGGTTCGGTATCGACTATCGGGGAACGCATTGCAAAACACACCTGGGTGTCGCAATGTGCCGCCGACGTAATGCTCACGCGCGTGTGTAAGAGCTCGCCGCTGCATCACACCGCGGCTCTCCGCGAGCCCACGAGTGTGCAACGGGCGGACACGTACGCGCGTTGCCTGTCATTGTGTAAGCCCTGCCTACCTACCAGCCAGCCTACCTGCCTGCACGAGTGCAACTTGGACGCGGCGGAGGGTCCGCACGAGAAAACCGAACGATCTCTCTTCCCGTTTCGTAACCGCCTTATCTCTCGACACTGCGGCACCGTTTGGCTCCGCCAGGATATACTCGTACAATCGATAGATCGCGATCGAGGGAGACAGTTCCTAAACGCTCGCCGCCGTCCCGGCGTTCGTCTCCGATCGACTCCGCTCGGATCTTTGCGGCCGACCGGAGCTTTCAAGATAGCCGCGGATAAAGATGGATAACGTACGAGACCTCTTCTTGTACGAATTGCGAACGTGTTAACTCTTACCAGACTCGTCCCGAGAACGTGTGAGAACGAACAACGAGAGATGTCCGCTCAAAGTAAACCTGAGTTGAAATTTTAGACTCACTTTCGACCCGGATTTTCTTACACCCGTAGGTTTTCGAAGATCAACGTGAACAGTTGCATTTTTACGGAAACCTTAGTCCTACTTAGCGCCTCTTAATGGCAGAAAGCGCACTAAATGTTACTCGTGGGTTCTACAAATCCGAACGAATAGCGCAGCCCTACTTCAAAACATCCAATTAGACGTTAAGCGGAATTCTCAGGTCGAAGGTAGGATCTGGATTTCGACTCGGAAAGACTGTGTGCCGTGAAATTCGCGCGGTCTCGTTAGGTTTCGAACCGACAGTCCCAGCCGTCCGTAATGCACAAATAAGGATTGATCCGACCGTTTGCACAATACGTATTTTCTCATTAAGGACGCCTGCCGCGCGCGCGGCCTCTCAAGGCTCGCGCACGCTCGCCGGGATGAACCTTCCCGTTAGGTCCTTTCCGCGAGGCAAAAGCAATCAGTTACCTCTCGCCGGGTATCCTTCCCGCCCGGTACAAGCCGCACAAGCGCGGAGAGCCACGGGATCCGAGCGATCGTTACCGGGTCCTCCGAGAGTGAACCGCGGCGGGTCATCTCGATCCGCGGGATGATCGGGAAGATTGAATGAAGAGCCCCCTCTTCGGAGGAATATCGGGATGCCCCGCGTTCGCGGACGAGCGAGGGCAGCCCTTGACGATTGTCGGTCGCCACCGAGCTTCCTTTCACACACGAATCTATCGATGCTTCATAGAAACGTAAGATCCGCTTCGGAGTGCACGCGCTCGCTCAACCTGACGCGGCATCTCGATATTCATGCCGGCGAGGGCATGCGCTCGCGAGGACCTCGATTATCGCTACGACGGGATCGTGTGTTTTACAGCCGGCATTGTAGGAATACCGCGGCTGTATCGCGTTCCCCGATGAACCCCGTCGCCGCCGCCGGGAGATCTAATTAGAGACGAACGATTTAATGGCCGGTATTCGAAATGAGTTTGTTCCGCTCGCGACGATTAATCGACCGCGGTCGATCGCGAGGAGGCGAGCCGGAAGACAGAGAGAGAGAGAGAGAGGGAGAGAGTGAGGAGACAATCTCACATGGAACGCGTCGGTCGCAAGAGGTACGCAGCAATGTGCACGCGAGAGAGAGAGAGTCTATTCTTTCGTTATCATCTCGCGGTACAAGATCGTTCCTCGTGTGGAACGTTTCAACCGTGACCATGCTCGCCTCCTTCTCCCCCCTCCCCCTCGGCCCGCGAGTGCAACCACGAGCTAATAGTATTTCCGCGGATTTCTCGCAGGTTAAAGGGTCACGACGAGGGGGATGATCGGGCGATTTGTGGCGAAAATACGCGGCGGGAGGAAGCGCGCGAGGCGGTCGAGATTAGCGACAAGCTAAGCGCGGAGGGGCAAGGGGAGCCGGTGGAAGTCCGAGGATGCGGAAGTTGAGGGATTATCCTCGACGCGCGAACCTTCTCCCTCCCTCCCTCCCTCCCTCAGCTCCCATCTCCCTTGAGTTGGTTGCTTAAATTGTTTCCTCAGAAGAGAGCCGAGTGCCATTGTTCTTCCAGCCGAGTGGACGGTGACGTACGTCACCGGTTGCTCATTATGTTCGTGTTTCCCACATACCTCTTTCGTCGCATTCTCTAATCTTTTTACGCTCTCTCTCTCTCACTCACTCACTTCGGGGAGTTCCTCGCCGACTGCGTCCCGTGTTGTACCTCCGACCGACCGACCGACGACCCGGAAGCTTGCACGGACGACGGCGTACACGTGGAAGCTCTCGGTGTGCGCCGTGCACGCGAAGTGGGGGGCTTTGCGCGCGTATGTGACTCCGTGAACTCCGTTTACGTGTATAAGTACGTATTTAACGGCCGTATCTACGCGGCCGGGGATGCATGGGAGTGCAAATGTCAGTGTGAGCGTATATACGCGGTCTCGAGGCGTGCATTCAATCTTCGAGACGTCGAGAGCGCCGCGTCTTTCTCGTATTAATGGACACGGTAGATGTTAATAAAGATACGTTCGAGCGAACGATCGGCGAGACGCCAATCGAAATCATTTAATTAGCTCATTAACGGTCATTATGGAAGCGTTGAGACTAACATAGAGAAGTCCATTGGATTATCTTTACGACAGAGCTTGGTTTGGATTTTCTCGTTTCATATTTCAACTTCACCGGAAAGCATATAAGCGCAATCGAGTTCGAAACTTTACACTGCTGTATCTTTAAAACAAAATGGTCAATAACTCGGAAATTTACGTATAATTAGTTTGCATGTTATAATCTTTGATGTCATAGTAGTTTTTCATTAAAATCTTATTTTTAGTTTAGAAAATATTAAAAGTGGTATTTAAAAATAGCATGCTAGTCTCAAGAAACGCGTATGGAAAATGTCAACGTTAGTTGAAAATATCTCAACTTTCGAATGATCAATCTTTTTCTAGTAACACAAGCAATAAGTTAGATAATATTTCAATGTATAGACAATGCAAGTTTCATCGAATCTTATTAAACTCATTTTACGTTTCAACCTCCTTTAAAACGAGATAACTTCGGATCCAGGCCGTGAATTATTGTCAAACTATCGATATCACTTTAAAATACAACGTAGATTTTTGCAATCTGTTTAATTTTTCTCATTATTTTCAGTTACGGACAATACATCCCCTAAATCAGCGTCAGATAATTCGCCCGCCAGTTAGTGGGCCAAAATTAACGGTGCAAGAAATGTAGATGTAATCTTATAATTCTTTAACAGTGGCAGCATAAATCAGCCTCGGCTTTCTCGACCTTACCCAAAGATAATACACGCATGTATAACGAGGCTCGGTTACTCAAGCTCGCTACTTTCCTCTCCTTAAGAACTTTCCATCCCGACGACCGCGGGAAATACTGCGCCCGGGCGTACCTCGCAAAGACCCACCGTGCGCGCCATGAACATATGTTATTTCACTTATCCCTATCTTATATATATATATACATCTACCGATCGCTGCACCGCAGCTTATCACGCTCCATTAAGCCGGATTCACGCTCCACGGGCGTACTCACGAATTTCACGTATGCGGCGCGAGACACGCACGAGCTAGAATTCGTCGTCGGCGACGGTACATGCGTCGTTCCACGGGTTCGCGTGTGCACGCGTGAAACACGGCCGCTCCGCGTACTTACCACACGTCCTGGCACCGCAGCAGCCGCGCACTTACCGTACGTACGTACGTTGCACCCGGCGCCGTGTGTGCGCCGCGTCGCTCGTACGCACGTAGGCAGAAGCTTTCGTGTGCGAAAGAGAGAGAGAGAGAGAGCCGACCGCGACTACCAAAGGTATGGGCCACTCCACCAGGTGTGGAGAATGGCGCGCCCGATGGCAATTACATCGGCAAATAAACCACGAGGTGAATACACTGTTAAAGCTAGCCACGGCTAGCGGCTAGGCGGCGGTCGCTCACGAACGATTCTCCCGTCGCCGGGTGAGGCTCGCTCGAGCCAACAATAACGCGGGACACGACAAAGGGCTGTGAATTACTGGCGGACGTTTCCTGCATTAACCGTCGCGCGCGAACGCCGAGGGAAGGATTTTCGTCGCTGCGCCGTACACACCGGGGAATCTTGTCATCCGCCTCGGCCGCCTTAATTGCGTCGGTAGCGGTTTGCGCGCCTCGACGATGATGACGCGTAACATCCTCTTTTACCTAAGGTTCTCGCGCGCACCCGCGGTTCTTTCGCCGCTACGTAGGATCGTGAGAAGACGCCTCGAGAGGAGGGAGACGGCTCGTTCTGACCGGAAGTTCCGGGGGCCGGCGTGTGTTTCTCGATATCGCGAGCGAGGTCGTTGAAAAATGGCGAGCAGCGAGAGAGGACCGGGTATTTATGTGTATTTACATATATACACGAGACGATGCATATTCACCGTTCACGGGCTATTAAACGAAGATGCATATGCATTACTTTCGGCTTGTACGAATTTCCTGAACGATAGCGAGACCAAGAATTAGACGCGGAATACGAAGCGCACGCGGCTTCGTCTACGTTCTCTCTCTCTCTCTCTCTCGACGGGCCAAGAAACACTATAATGCGCGCCGTCATTACCAGAAGTGGATTCGTGCCGAATGGTCTTTCTGGTAAGTGGTCTGGCTCCCTGGCTACCACATTGACTTCCTCGATAGAGCGCAAACACCGGCCGCGAACGAGGAGCTCGGTACTCACTCCATCGACTTCCCACGGCTGTTGACATGTTTTGTGTTCATTAGTCGACTCTCGAGAGCCCAGAACCTGTAGCCGTTGCATAGTTCCATACCACAGGCGTGCACGCGGTCGCGGAGACAGACATACACACACACACGTGCGCACGTGTACAATGCTCGTCGTGTACGTATGTATATGCGCGTTGTTCCACACAACCTTTTGCCACAGCGTGAGAATAGTCG